CCTCATTTCTCTTCCAAAGCATCGCTGCAAATTTGCCTCATTTCTCTTCCAAAGCATCGCTGCAAATGTTGCCTCATTTCTCTTCCAAAGCATCGCTGCACATTTGCCTCATTTCTCTTCCAAAGCATCGCTGCAAATTTTGCCTCATTTCTCTTCCAAAGCATCGCTGCAATTTTTGCCTCATTTCTCTTCCAAAGCATCGCTGCAAATTTTGCCTCATTTCTCTTCCAAAGCATCGCTGCAAATTTTGCCTCATTTCTCTTCCAAAGCATCGCTGCAAATTTTGCCTCATTTCTCTTCCAAAGCATCGCTGCAAATTTTGCCTCATTTCTCTTCCAGAGCATTGCTGCAAATGTTGCCTCATTTCTCTTCCAAAGCATCGCTGCAAATTTTGCCTCATTTCTCTTCCAGAGCATCGCTGCAAATTTTGCTTCTTTTCTCTTCCAAAGCATCGCTGCAAATGCCTCATTTCTCTTCCAAAGCATCGCTGCAAATTTTGCCTCATTTCTCTTCCAAAGCATCGCTGCAATTTTGCCTCATTTTTCTTCCACATCGCTGCAAATGTTGCCTCATTTCTCTTCCAAAGCATCGCTGCACATTTTGCCTCATTTCTCTTCCAAAGCATCGCTGCAAATTTTGCCTCATTTCTCTTCCAAAGCATCGCTGCAAATTTTGCCTCATTTCTCTTGCAAAGCATCGCTGCAAATTTTGCCTCATTTCTCTTCCAAAGCATCGCTGCAATTTTTCGTTTCTCTTCCAAAGCATCGCTGCACATTTTGCCTCACTTCTCTTCCAAAGCATCGCTGCAAATTTTGCCTCATGTCTCTTCCAAAGCATCGCCGCAAATTTTGCCTCATTTCTCTTCCAAAGCATCGCTGCAAATGTTGCCTCATTTCTCTTCCAAAGCATCGCTGCAAATTTTGCCTCATTTCTCTTCCAAAGCATCGCTACAAATTTTGCCTCATGATGAAAGAATGGAATGGAATGGAGTGGAATGAAATGGAATGGAATGGAATGAAATAACATGAATGCATGAATTGAATGAATGAATGAATGAATGAATGAATGAATGAATGAATGAATGAATGAATGAATGAATGAATGAATGAATGAATGAATGAATGGAATGAAATAACATGAGTCAAATGAATGAATGAATGAATGAATGTGAATCAATCAATCAATCAATCAATCAATGAATCAATGAATCAATGAATCAATCAATCAATCAATCAATCAATCAATCAATCAATCAATCAATCAATGAATGAATGAATGAATGAATGAATGAATGAATGAATGAAATGAATGAAATGAATGAAATGAATGAAATGAATGAAATGAATGAAATGAATGAACGAACGAACGAATGAATGAGTGAGTGAGTGAATGACTGAGTGAGTGAATGAATGAATGGAATGGCATGGAATGGAATGGGATGGAATGAAATAAAAGACAATTAATTAACAACAATAAAATAAAATAATATACACTACCCGGCAAATAGATGGCACATTTACGACGTATATTTTTAGGTAGATGGCACGGTGTGATTTGAAAATGGCCCATGCTCAGTTGGCACATATCTTCAATTATCCGGCGAATTGTGCCATCTACTGGCTCAAAAAATCAGGGAATATCCAGGGGGTCAAAAAAATGTGCCATCTACTTTGCAAACATGTCCGCCGACCCTTTGGCTCTTCTGTGAGTGGATCGGAGTGAAGTGGGAGTGGAGTGGAGTGGCATGGAGACTGGAGAGTGGATCTATTAAGCAAACATGTCCGCCGACCCCTTTGGCTCTTCTGTGAGTGGATCGGAGTGAAGTGGGAGTGGAGTGGCGTTTCATGGAGATTGGAGAGTGGATCTATTACAGTAAGCAAACATGTCCGCCGATCCCTTTGGCTCTTCTGTGAGTGGATCGGAGTGAAGTGGGAGTGAAGTGGGAGTGGAGTGGCGTGGAAAGTGGAGAGTGGATGTATTAAGCAAACATGTCCGCCGACCCCATTGACTCTTCTGTGAGTGGGTGGGCGTGGGAGTGGCGTGGCGTGGAGAGTGGCGAGTGGAGAGTGGAGAGCGGGGAGTGGGGAGTGGGGACAGTGGAGTGGAGTGGGGCTAAGGAAGTATTTACAGTGTGTACATATTATATTCAGAATACACACAAGTCAAAGTTATTCACGAACTCGCTAACACTGCAACTTCCATGTCGCACTGCTTGCTATGCTGGCGTGAGTCAATCCGGCTCGGCGCTGTACTGTGCACAGGCAAGGCTCAAGCAGGTACACCCGCGCAGGCTGTCCTAGTTCACTGGATGTTGCCCCCCCCCCATCAACAAATAGATGGCACAATTCCATTTCGTTGATGAGTGCTTTAAATGAATCCTTTTAGGCCAAGCAAGCCTGCGCGGGGCTCTGATCCTGATCGAATCTTGGAGTTTGGGCAGTGGAGATTACGAAGCGTTAAGGGTGCAAGGCCTAAGCACTGGGGAAATTAAAATGAACAAACCATCATTGAGATCAAACACGAAGGAACCCCCCTCCACTGCAGGGGCTGCCCAAAAGGCCCCTAGAAACACTGCTCCCCATATGTGCGAGCAGGGCTGGATGGCCCACCGCCAAAACGCCAGTCAAGCCCAATCGGCTTGCAAAGCTGTACGAATTTCCGATCCTGTGCAGGATGGAAGGCAGTGGCTGCCTAATTGCGTGTTGAACCTTTTTTCAAGGGTTGTTCCTTTTTTCCAGGGCAGGCCCTTTTTGCAAGGGAATTGCAGAGCCCTTTGGTCAAGGGGGGGCAAAAACAAAAGATCTTTGAGCTTGAAACGGCTGCAGTTGAAAGTGGTGATGGCTCCACATGGTGTGTGTGTGTGTGCTTGTGTGTGTGGTGTGTGTGGGAAACATGTTACGAGGAGAAGAAAAGCATTCACTCAAAAACACACAAGCCAATGCTTGGATGTTTACTGAATTAAAATAAGTTCCAAAAAATGAAATGACTTTTCCCCCTTCAGCACCTTCCTCCACCAAAAGGTTGTTGGTTATGTTTTTTGTGTGGCCAATGGGTCTTCAAGGGGTGCATTGAACAGCAACATTGTTTGAACAGGCAGTTGCAACAGCAATCTCACGACTGGCTTTCCCTTGATTTTCCCCAGCCCCCCTAGCTGCAGTTTTTTCCATTGAAGCAAAATCTGTCCTGACCCATTTTGGCCAAGGAATCTGCCACCACAAAGGGGATTGTTGCAGATTATGCCCTTTTCACAAGGGATTGGTTGCGGCAAGCACACACAGCTCCTTTCAGCAAGGAGATGCAACTTTGCCCTTTTGACAAGGGGATGAAAGCTAGCGCCCAGCCCCTTTGGGCAAGGGTTCTTCTATTCACTGTGGAATCCCCCTTGTAAACAGCAGCTGGCAAACCCTTTGTTCAAGGGCCCAAGGCTTCACCCTTTGGGCAAGGGTCTTCCCACTTTTGTGCGTCATGTGCACAACTCCTCCCTGAGCTGGATGGCCTCATTTTTTGTCAGGTGGTTTTCTCTAAGCCTGGCAAGAATTGCATCAATGTGTGCACTGTAGGAGGCTGATCTTTTCATTGAGATCTCCACAATCAACCTGTTTTTCTCCCCCGGCTCTTGGCTTCCAATGATGTAAGCTCTCTCTGGGTTCTTGGCATTCGCTTTGCTCAATTTCAGCCAAGGTTTTCTTGCAACTGGGTTTGTAGAGTTGTGCTTTTCTGATGTTGCTTCAGCCCTTTTGACAAGGGCAGCTGGCTTCTTCATAACAATACACAGCTGTTCTTTCAAGCTAGCCGTTGGCTGGCGTTTTTTGGCCCAGCCTTATCTCCTCATGAAGCTTGGCTTGCAGAGGGCACTGGCACTGCTTGGCACTTGTCCTTCTGGCAAGGAAGGCATTGCCTGGCTGTGGCTTGCACTAGCTTCCTCACTGGGGAGTGAATCTCCCTTCTCAGGGCAGCCCCCTTTAGACAAGGGGCTTGTGGTTGGCTGAGCTTTGAGCGGGCTGGTGCAGCAAGTTGGGAAGCCTTGGCTGTCCAGGGAAACATCACTCACCCGTGGCTTGAGTTTTCTTTGTTTGTTCTCCATTTCCTCAAGGGGTGGCCCTTCCCTTTTTCCAAGGGGTGGCTCCTCCCTTTTTTCAAGGGGCTTTGCAGGCAGAACTGGTTGGTCATTGCTTTTCTTCTCAATCATGTTGACAACCTCCTGCAACTTGAGGTACTCGACACTGGTCAACTTAGAAGCACAGAGTCTCATGCTTTCTGGAGATTTGAGCCGCCGAAAATGGGCCAAAATAACATTCAGCCTTTCCAGCTTGAGGCCAACCCAAACTTGCCCATTGAATTTGGAATTGTTGAGGGATGGGTCTGATTGATACACAGTATAGATTGCACCTCTCAAGTTTCCCTGGTGGATTTCACAGGTGGGCTCTGCTTCCACAATGCATTTCACCAGTTCCAGCACATGCATCAAGCCTGCAGGGTGGCAGGCCTGTGACCTAGAGATTAGAACTTGGGGTTTGCTGAAGTGCCGGGCCCCACCTTTGCCCATGTTGGCAAGCCCTTTTGTCAAGGGGGTAGATCAGAACCTTTTTGTCAAGGGAACCCTGCCACAATTGCTCCCTCTGTGAAGGATAATGCCCCTTTTAGCAAGGGGGTTGGATAGCGGCACCTTAGGCTTGAGCCACCATCCAGTTGGGCACGCATATACATCAAAGCTGCCATGTATAAGAAGCATGGGTGCCCAAGAAAAAGTCAATAGGGCAAGCACAACCACAATCAATAGCTAAATCAATATGAAAATCAATATGAAAATGAATAAAACTGCAAAAACTAATCAATAAGAAAAAAATCAATAGCCAATTGATTTTTTCAATAAAAACACCTCAAATCAATATCAATAAGAAAACATGGGTTTCTATTGATTACAATGAATAGCCGATGCTCTGGGGAGAGGGGCGAGTCGGACCTCTGGTCCGGCCGACTCCGATTCTGGCGGCTCTGCAATGGAGCAGGATATGAAAAGTACGGTGAGGTTAGTCGAGGTCACGGCGATTCCACAGAGGCTGAGCAGCCACTTGGGGTTGAAAGGCGACCCCAACGGTGCAGTCATGCGTGGATACACCAATGACTGGTGCGGACGAAGCGTAGAGGGCCGCTTGGTGGACGTCCATCGATTGCTGGTCTCAGGAAGTGCGGTTGCGAAGAAGAATGTGGTGATCCTGGATGGCAACGAAGGTTGGATCATCCCCCGGGACAGCAAGATCGGCAAGGGGGTCCGCGCAGCTCGCGACAACCTTCTCAACCAGAACTACACGGAGGCGAAGATGGTCACGAAGATGCACAAGAAGAAAGGCATCTCCCTCTTCGACCTGTGGATGGACAAGCGCACCAAGATGAATGGCGTGGATGCCAAGGTCGGAGCAGTGCAAGGAGGGAGCCAGTCGAAAGGTTTCAGGCGGCAGGCTCAGAAACAGCCGTAAGTCCGGAAGGTGAAGAGTCTGCTGAGGGTGAAGGTGGTCGGAAGCCGAAGCTGTTGCGATTGCCGGTCACCCCGACAGCAGACGAGATTGAGGACACCATCTATAGGACCTGGTGTGGTCACTGCATGTGTGCTCGTGGACTACATGAACGGCATGCTTCAGAAGATGAGAAAGGAAAGGATGAGAGAGGATTGCCGATCATGTCCATGGACTAATCCTGGATGGGCAAGGACTCTAAGAACAGAGACGCGCCAGATCCTGAGTGCCGTCTCTGCAGATTAAGGATGAGCGCACAGGCTTTGTATGGGCCAGTGTGGTACCGGCGAAGGGGGTGGACCTCTATGCCGTCAACTTTGCCATCCAGAGCGATCGTGTTCAAATCGGATAATGAATCGTCAATCAAAGCTTTGAAGATTGCGATCAAAGAGGGAATCAAGAGCGTCGAAATCGTGATGGAAGAAGGTAAGACAGGTGACTCGCAGTCGAACGGAAGCTGCGAGGTGGCGGTGAGGGAGACCAAGAGGCAGGTCAGGGCGATGAAGAGCGCCCTGGAAGAGAAGATGGGTCTGAAGATCCATTCGAGGTACCTAATCCTTGCGTGGGTTGGGCGCCACGCATGCTTCATGCTATCACGGTTCCGTGTTGGAGCCGACGGCAGAACCGCCTATGAGAGATCACGCGGAAGGAGGTGGAAGAGACCTTCAGTGACCTTCGGGGAGAGAGTGTGGTTTAAGCCTCTGAGGAGCTACGTGCAGGGGGCCTACGACACCATGCGTGAAGGCCTACTTCTGGGGGCCCACGGGCGCAATGGCGAGGCGCTCATCATGACCGAAGAGGGCGTGATCAAGGGCGGAAGTGTGAAAAGAGTTTTCCGAGGAGAAGAGATGGAGCAAAGAGGGGTTCGACAACGCCATGGAAGATGAGACCGAAGAGGCCTGAAGACCTGGACGCGCCCGTGGCCGTTGCTCTTCCGAATCTGCAACTTCCTCCGCCATGTCTGGCACGTCTTCTATGGCGGGAACCACCACGTCTCCTGACTTATCCTCCTTTCCGGCGGCATCTGCCTTTCTCTTCCTTGCCCTCATGACTCTATCGCGCCCCTCGTCAGTCTCCATGAGCCTTTGCTCAACCAGCGTTCTGCGTTCCACGCTGTGGGACCTTGCCGGGGGCCCCACGATGATGGCATTGCAGCCATCGCAGCCGGGAGTGAAGTTTCCCTCCACATCGGCTTTCTTGACATACAGATTCCTCACTTGACCTGATCCCTTATCGGAGGGTTCGGTCAGCCTGCCCGACTTTGGGTCGGCCGGCGCCAGAAAGGCGACCAATGGAAGATCCAGCGGAAGGCAGCCCTTCACAGAAAAGAGCCAAGTCCCCCGAAAGAAGAGAGAAGGGGAGGAGCGCAGTCCTCCGCGGGAGCTGATCCCGCTGCTACAAGCAAGTGTGCGCTGCTCGGGCTGGACAAGACGTCTGTACCTGAGACAGTACAAGATGAACCAGCTGTACCAGTCGCTGGGAATGAGCGGCGTTGACGTGGCCGAGATCTACAACCCGGAGCGGTTCACGTCAAAGGCCAACGCTTTCGGTCTGCAGCCAGGTTTCGCGATCGACCTGACGCTGCAGAAGGATGACAAAGGCAACCATTGGGACCTGTCCTAGACCGAGCATCAGACTTGTGTACGATCTGACCGTAATTCTGCGGAGACTAAAGTTGTGTACGATCTGACCGTTATTTCTGCGGAGACTAGAACTGCTTACGATCTGACCGTAATTCTGCGGGGGCTCAACTTTAATTACGATCTGAGCGTTCCCTAGGGGCCCAAGACCTTCATAAGCCTTAGTGCGAGCTGGTCTGATGAACTCCGGCCTCCTCCCACCAAGGGCCCAAAGAGATGTCAGCGGACAAAGTTGTGGCTTTAGCGATGGGCCAAGAAGAAAAACTTACCTGTCGCCCAGTTTCAAATCCTTTGGACCCTTGGTTGGCGAGGGCCCGAGCACATGGAGCTGGAAGGAGTTATGCATCGAAAAGCTACAAGCCATGGACGGCGTCTACACAGTGCAGGCTCCGATGTGCAAGTGGCACATGAAGGCTGAAGATGGGCAAGGAGTTGGATTCGTGCGCAAAGAGACGTGCTACGTCACCAACTCCGCCGACATGGCTAAGGCACTTGAAGGGCGCTGTGAAGGGCGCCACAGACATGTCCATCTGATCAATGGGCGTGCTCGTGAGGCACAAGTCTACCCGCCGAAGCTGGTGAATGCGATTTTGAGAGGAATCAAGAAGGAGCTCATGAACAAGGGCGAGATCAGTGAACTGTCTTCGATCACTGCAGGTCCTTCGCCTGACGAGACAAGCAGTGAGCCCACAGAGCCTTTCTTCAACCCCGAGGTCCAGACAGAAGGCGTCTTCTTCGATTCCGTGACTGGCACGCCTCTGAAGACCGACAAGGTTTGGGAGGCGAGACGCGAGGAGATGACATGGGTGAAGAAACAAGACCTGTACGAAGTGGTGGATGAGCAGGTCTGCTGGGATGAAACCGGTCGAGGCCCGATCGGCCTAAAGTGGGTTGATCGAAATAAAGGAGATGCCTTGAATGAGAATTACAGGAGCAGGCTGGTGGTGAGAGAGATAAAGCGAGCTTCGGTTCCCTTGGCGGAGTTCGAGTCTTTCTCGGCAATGCCACCGTTGGAAGCCCTCAAAGTCCTGTGCTCACTTCTCGTCAGCAAGAAGGTGAGCAAGTCGGGGCAGCCTTTGAGGTTGCGGCTGATTGACATCAGCAGGGCGCACTTCTATGGACAGGCCGCCGACGGGTGTTTTGCAACTTGCCAGAAGGAGAAGAAATCCCTGGCAAATGCGCGCTCCTGAAGCGCAGCATGCACGGCGCCCTGGATGCGGCTTCGATATGGCAACAGACGTATGCTGATGTTCTGAAGAAGAACAGCAATGCGTTGCTTGGCCTGCGCTGTTCTACCAGGAGGACAGTGACCTGAGGTTCATGGTGCATGGGGACCTGGGTGACGACTCCGCCCAGAACTTTCTTGAAAAGGTCCTGAGCGAGAAGTTTTGAGTACCGGGTGGATGGCCAAACCGGCCCTGAAGCCACAGACGGCACAGCCGTGTGTGTGTTCTCAACCGCGTGCTGGAGTTCAATAAGGACACCGGCATTCTCACCTATGAGGCGGACCCGCGACACGCGGAACACATCATCCGTGCCCTGAACTTGGAGGAGAGCAAGTCAGTGTCCGGAAAAGCAGAAGCTCACTGACGTGCTTGCTGCTGAAGGCCTTCCTGACACGATTGCTCACCATGCGAGCTGCTTACCTGAGTATGGACCGTGCCGAGGCGGTCAAGTCCTTGACAAAAACACATGAAGTCCAAGACGGCCTAACCAGACGCTATTTAATGGCCGGTTAGCTATATGGCCGCAAACAATGGCCGGTTGGCGTTTGGCTGCGCAGCCATCATGCATGAAAGATGCCGCAAGATGCCGCAAGCCTTTGTTTTAGATTGCCGGGCGTCAACAACAACCCGGTCCACCGCGAACTCCTGCAGAGAAACCCACGCGTCGCAAAACTTTTAGTGTCAGCGACGCTTGTGATGCCAATGATGATGCTGGGTGGTGATGCTGGGTGGTGATGCCAGGGACGCTGGCTGGCGCTTGTTTTGCTGGTTTCGCTTGCCAGGAAAGTCTTGCCTTGAGACGTTTCGTGTAGCTCTTTGCTTGCTCGCTTGTTGCTGCCTGCTTGTTCTGTCGGCGCTGCGTCCAAGTCCTTGCTGTTTGGCCGTTCTCGCCCACCGTCGCTCACAGACGAAGTTGGCGGACAGTTGGTTGCTAGGTCGCCGCTTTCCGCTCTTCCAAGCTTGTTGCGGAACCCGGCAGGCAAGGCCGCTTTTGGGATTAGGGTTCCCATTGACCTTGCTAGCTCCATGAGATTATCGCTTGCCGGCTTGCCCAACGAGATATCTTTGCAATGATGCGTTGCCCTGCGCAAAGCGCAGCGCCAGTTACATCTTGGGCTGCGCGTGCGCCTCGTGTCAACTCTGCCTATCGTTGCCGTGGTCGGAGCGGACATGGCGTGACTGTTGTTTGTAGAGTCTCGCGCTGGTTTGGCTAAACTGCTGCGACTCAACTCTGTCACAGCCCTGCCGTCGTGCGGGGACGCCAGGTCATTCAACGTCCCAGCCTCGTCCGAAAGTTACTCGCGCTGCTGCAGACGCTTTGCGGCCAGAAAGCCAAGAAGAGAATTAGAACGCCAAAAGGCTGAATTTGGGCACCGCACGGTTTCGCGAAAAAGGCTCTGCAAATTTCTTGCAGGAGCCCTTGGCCGCACTGTTCAACCCCAATGTTTGCGGACCTTTTTTTGGAGCTTCCAAAGTTGCAGCTTTAAGGGGAGCCCCAGTGAGTCAAGGTCGCGCTCTGCCACAGCCACCCTGAGCATCAGCTATGGGTTTCCGTCGCTTCGGTCTCCCTCTTGGTGTTTCCAACGAAGGTCAGGGGTGGCCAAGGTTTTCACAAACGTCTCCTTGTGCTTTTGATATGTTTGCCATTGAGTCGGAACTATTGATGTGACTGCTCCGGTCGGCCTGAAACTGTGTAGGTTCGTTGCCCAGAAGCAAATGTGAAAGCCTTGCGCTTATGCAAAGCCTTGCCATAAAGGGGGCGCGCTTCCAGCCTGAGCATTGAACAAAGATATCCCATTCCAAGACAACACTTTCACAAAGTAAGCTGCCCCCCCCCCCAAGGCCACATCAATGTCCAAGCCGAGTTTCGGCCGTTTGTTCAAGGAGGCAGGCAAGCGAACGAGAAAACAATCAGACCAAGGAAGGAACCAACCAACAGGCCATCGAAGCAAACATGTAATTACAAACACCCGCGACCAAACTAACCGACAAAGAAGCAGACGGACCCGGAAACTACTAAACATGCAAACAGTCAAAGCAGACGTGACACACGCATGCAGAACAGCACCCGTGCAAAAAAAACAATTAGCATCTACGCAAAGAACACACACGCAACAGAAACTTAACACGCGCAGAACAACAAGAGCCTGTCAAGTGGAAACGTGCCGATTGTTTCAGATTGTTTCCCCCAAGCAAACCATACTCTTGACTACTTCTACCGGGGCTCAAGGCGAAATTCAGAAACCCAGCCGGCTTCAGATTACATCTTCCCTAGTTTCTGAGTTGCCTGGGGCATGTCGGCTCCCTCCCCAGGACGGTCTGACACGGTTTTTCATGGGATATAGGGTCCAGTGACATGGTTTGACACGGTTTTGCGCAGAAGAACAAACTCAATTTGCCGGTTTGACACGGTTTTTCCTGCAAATAAGGTCCGGTTACACGGTTTGACACGGTTTGACACGCTTTTGCCAAGGCGCGGATTGGAGTAGCAAGCGGGCTTGTCGACTCCCACCCCGACACAGTTTGACACGGTTTTGCCTGTAAATAAGGTCCGGCGACACGGTTTGACACGGTTTGACACGCTTGTGCCAAGGCGCGGATCGGAGCAGGAAGGAGAAAAGCAACTTGAGAAGCGGTGACACGGTTTGACACGCTTTCCAAAGCGCGTGCCATATGCGGAAGCGGGGGAAGCCCAACCTGCCGACCTTCTCGCGGCCACGTCTGTAAATAGCATCCCGTGACACGGTTTAACACGGTTTAACTTATCCGGGTTCGCGAGTTGATTCATGGTGGTTGGCAAAAACGTGTCAAGCCGTGTCAAACCGTGTCACCGGACCTTTTTTACAGGAAAAACCGTGTCAAACCGTGTCGGGGAGGGAGTCGACAAGTCCGCCTGCTACTCCAATCCGCGCCTTGGCAAAAGCGTGTCAAACCGTGTAACCGGACCTTATTTGCAGGAAAAACCGTGTCAAACCGTGTCGGGGAGCGGGTTGGCAAATTGAGTTTTTTCTTCTGCGCAAAACCGTGTCAAACCGTGTCACCGGACCCTATATCACACAAGAAGTCCGAGCCACTCCTTGCAAAAATGTGTCAAGCCGTGTCAATCCGCGAGGTCGGCAAACGGAGGGTTCGACCGGCGCTGTGGGAAAACCATGTCAAGCCGAATGCTATTACATGAAAAGACATGTCAGACCGTGTTGGGGCGGGGTCGGGGTCTGCAATGCAACAGCAAGTGCTGCAAACTATATGCCCTGAGCGTCGGGCATTGGTTGCATCAACAGGATCCGAGGTTGTGTTCTATTGAGGGAGCCCTGGTTTGAATGTTTTTTGTTAAGTTCTTAGGGTCCTTAAATGGCAAATTCAACTGTCGCAATTCTGACTTAAAACAAAGGCTTCAACAAGCGCAGGCGCTCCGATAGCGTTTCTTGTCAATGCCGGCTGGGCCAAGTGGGAGCATTAGGTGCTACGAGCCCCCTTTCTGCCAAGGGCTGCGTGTTTTTGATTCTCCACCAACACACACTCAGTCCTTTAGACAAAGAGCTAATCCTTTTTGAAAGTTTGCTTTTGTCATGGGCCCTTGGAGTCACCGGCTTGTCGAGTGGCATAGGAAATTCTGCCTGGACAGTGGTGCCCCAAACAAACCAATGAAACACCCAGGCTACTCGAAAACTAGGCCCTGTCACGGTTGGGAGTTTATTTCGACCCGCGAGGGAGGTGGGGGCAAAGACAAGTAGAAATGCGCTAGCGAGGGCCATTCAAGCATGATTTTTGTCTCGTGGCAAGGCGCCAGGTTTTGAAATGTTGAACAAGGGGGGAGACAAATGCATGTTGGGGCAGGCGTGCAAAAATCAAAACAGTTCCCTTCCTAAAACACAAGAACTTGTCTGGCAGCCAAGTGCCGATTGCCATCTCAAGCAACACATGAAAAGCAAGACCCAGGCGACTTGGAATAACAACCCTGCGCGTTTGCAAGGCTCCAGTTTTCTTGAATGGCTTGAGCTTCGCTTTTGCTCGCACGTACGCTCCCAGGCAGGAGGATTTCTATTAAAAAACAAGCCGTTTAAAGACAATTTGAAAACCCAAGCCGCTTAACGACTGGAAATTGTTTGTTGGCAAGCTGCCAGTTTTTGAACGGCTGGGCGGGTCGAGCAAGAATGGGCATTTGTGTTCCAGCCATGGCAGGGTAGTTGGGAAGGCCACCACGCACTACACCCTGTCCAGTTGCAAGTTGCCATTGTTTGGCTTTGGCTTCAGCGCCCTACACAGGTCTCTAGTCCTTTAGCGATTTGGATTTGGAGAAGAAGCTCCAGGCCTCTACGCCACTTCAAGCCAACGCTTGAGTTTTGGATTGGCTTGTCGTTCCTTGCAAGGCAACCGCAAGCAAAGTGAACAATGCCTAATTGTTTAAGCTTCAAGGTTCAAGGATCGAGTGTAGCAAGTTCGTTGGTACAACGAACAAACTGTTTGCTGGTCAGGCCCCAGCCAACCAAAATGACACCTGGTCACACCTGATCAAATCTGATCACCTGACCGCTTCTGACCAATCCGTGGTGTAAATTTGATTTGATCAGGATCGGTTGGGTTTTGCTTGCAGGGCAGTGCGACAAAGAGATTGACTCGAGCTTTGCAATGCCCGAGCTTTGGGATTGCTCTTTTGTCTTCTTGCAATTTTTTGCTAAGCAGACCAATTTCGAAGCTATTCAACAACTGCCACCTGTTTTCCATTAGTATTTCCCTGCTCTCCCGCCAACAGGCAGAAGAAGCATCTATGATGTTCAAAAACTGGAGCCTTGCCATTGGACAGGGCGCAGTTTCATATTCATCTTGCCTGGCGGCGCCCCCCCTCTCTTGCAAGTGAGGCCACGCAAAATTGAAAGCGCCGTCCACTTGGAAACTAGACCGCACGGGCGGCAGAGGGGGGCCGACGACACAACAATCTGACAATCCAGGCTACTTGAAAGGCCAGTTGCTGAATTGCTTCGAAAAGGGTGAGGCAAAGCGAAAGGTCAAAAAGCAGAACGCTCAATGCCAGTGGCCGTGCCCCGGCCACTCAGAGCCTTGCCCACGGACAGGTTCCAATTTCCCGCTTGTCACCCCGCCCGCAGGGGAACAAACCCCGCTGGATCGCGGAGGGGGTCTACTGTTAACGCGGGCTAGATCTCTGAGAGAGGACGCCCCGGTGGCAGAAGCAAATTCCAAACCAACCAGAAACAGGTGCTTTCGCCCATGCTTCTGAACTTTGTAAGTACAGTTTGCGCCTTCTGGCAAAGCACTCTGAAACAACCGGCGCATTGCGGCGCATCTTTTGAGTATCTATTGCGCGGACGCGCTTTGTGTGTTTGTGTGTTTGCGCGCGCGCGTTGGATGTGTTTCTTTGATGGTTTGGTAAGATTCTTTGTGTGTTGGGTAGTTTGTGCGTCTGTGTGTTTGTTTGGTTGCAGGTGTGTTTGCATCTTCTCTTCTTGCTTGTCGCCTCCTTAATAATGAGCTAGAACTGGGTCTGGACCAGCTTGGATATTCGTGCGGCCTTGGGGGGGAAGCTTACTTTGCGACAGTGTTTTGTAGAAGTGGCGCCCCTCCCTTTCTCAAGTGCTCGGGCTGGACGGTCGCCCTTTACAGCAAGGTTTACGCAGTTTCAGGCAAAAATGCACAGTCAATTCAATAGCCGAAGTCATAAATGCAAAGGAATAGCCGAATCAAAATTCAACACGCAAGGGTCACTAGAAAACTTGCCGGCGCTCATGTTATTCAGGAGTGTTGAAAGGGAAAGCCAGTCCAAAGAAACGGGGGTGGCAACGCCGTGGTAGCAACCCCCCGTCTCGGCAACGCAAAGTTTATAAATGCGTTGCCAGCCGCTTGCATATACAACAGTAAATACGTTTGCAAAAATCAGGCCTTGAAGTGGTTGCAAATCTTGTCAAGGCTTGCCACATGCGCGCACTTGGCGCTGCAGCAAGCCGACTGAAACATCAACAGCGCTGCCTGCGCAAGCATCCCTTGCCTGGGAAAGCCAACAGAAACATGTTTGCGAAACAAATGCCTCAAAACGGCTTCAGATCTCGCAAACGTTTTCGGTTAAGTAAACAATGGCCGGTTCAACGGTAAAGAGTGGCTGGTTGAGTAAACAATGGCAGGTTGCAAATAGCGTCTGGTTAGGCCGTCTTGGGTCGCCCACTTCATACTCCTGGGGGCGGCTCAAGCGGCTTGGGCGCTACCTTGTCGGAGTTCCTCAAGCGCAGCAGCTGTTCAAGCCACAGCGGATGTTCACCAGCATCCGTGTCTACTGCGACAGCGACCATGCAGGCGACCTCAAGAGTCGCAAGAGCACTACGGGGCTCATCTGCATGCTCGGCGCTCACTGTGTCAAGCACTCCAGCAACCTTCAGAGTAGAGTTTGAGCTCGGGTGACTCGGGTGAGAGTGAGTTCTACGCTCTGGTGAAAGCCGGAGCAATGGGGCTCGGCTTACAGGCCATGCTGGATGAGTGGCAAATCCCCACAGGATCGTGTTGCTCTCTGACAGCTCCGCAGCGAGGGGAATGCCTCTGACCCGCAGATGTGTGTTGCAGACATGGACACCATGGGCCAGGTCATCACCGCCGGCCGCAGTCTGACTGCAAAGCAGTTGGTTTAAGCTGCGCATCAAGGGGATGCTGGCTTAGGAGGGGTGTTCATGTGTGCTGTTCAACATAGTGCACTCCGTTCGTTTTGGCTCGAGAAAAGGAGCGCTGCATGCCGCCGCGCTTGTTTGCCGGTCATATTAGATTTTCATTTTGGGACCCTGGCTTCCTTTGCGCCTCCTGGAAATCAGACCTACGAATGGGGCCACGCGTTTGGCAAGCCCACATATGTTTATGATATTTATATATATATATTATTACTATATATATGGAGAGATTTCTAGCGTCAGCTGGGCGTAAGGCTTGCGCAAGGGATAAGACAAGGGCGATCTACTCGCGACATTCCTCGGCTCGGCCAGCCTGTGGCAGCTCAGTCTCTCAGTTCCGGGAAGGCAAGACCCACGCGGTGCGCTTTCAGCAGCACCTTTGGCTCTAGTTGGCTCTATCTTACGCACAAATGGCTGCGGCAACAGTTTGCCAAGCGGCAAACTGCTCCAAGCCAACCCAGGATGGCCTGCCAGGTCGGCTTCTCCAACCTTGTCGACATGCAAGAGTGGTGTGCAGCGCGCAGTTGATGTATCGGAAACGCACCAGTGTCGAGGAGGACTGAGTTCCACATGGCCTGCCTGCTGCACTGCGCAGGCTTTTGCAGCCGCGCGTGTCGGAGACAGTCCCGGAAAACACCAGCGACAGCAATGCCAGCGCAAGGACTTGGAGGGTTGCGGGAGTGGTTAGGATGGCTGCGTTCATCAGGATCTTTTAAGCGTATATATATATATACATATGTATGCAATGTTGGGAATTGACATGCCGGCTTGTAGCCTGCGTTGCCTTGTTTGGAATAACGCAGCTCTTTGCAGGTGCGGTCTTTGCCCCATGCTCGCGAAGTGGATGCCCCTGCCCAGCATCCTGGAACGGCCAGGCCGGGCAACATTGTCCGGCCCCCAGTTGCACAGTTGCACAGTTGCAGCAAGGTGACCAGGAACACACGGCTTTGTTGCAACAGCTGGACGCCTGCATGTTGCTTTGAGGCTGCAAGCGCTGCCAGGGAGGAAATCCATGTGGCGTTGCAACGCACATGGTTCCCTCAGCTCCCTCAGTGACTCCTTCGGGTCCGGCTACTTCCTTGGACTCGCTTGGACTGCCAAGAACAGAAGTGGCGTTAGTTCAGAGCGTCTTCAGTCCCGAGAGTTGTGTCATGTTGTGTCCTTGCGATTGGTTAGAAAGGGTTCTTGCAAATCAGAAGACCAGTGCCCCAAGCGCAGTAGCTGAGCGCCCAGGCCCCGACGGCCACCCCAACGCCTGCCCCAGGTGTCTGCCAGTGTTGTGGGGCGAAGGGCTTGAGTCGTTTGGAAGAATTGCGTTGAAGCAGCCGGGGATGTGATGGGCATTGAGTTCATCGGAGTGTTGAAAGCAGGAGCCTTCTTGTGAAGTGACATGCCGGCTTGTAGCCTGCGTTACCTTGTTTGGAATAATGCAGCTCTTTGCAGGTGCGGTCTTTGCCCCATGCTCGCGAAGTGGATGCCCCTGCCCAGCATCCTGGAACGGCCAGGCCGGGCAACATTGTCCGGCCCCCAGTTGCACAGTTGCACAGTTGCGCAAGGTGACCAGGAACACACGGCTTTGTTGCAACAGCTGGACGCCTGCATGTTGCTTTGAGGCTGCAAGCGCTGCCAGGGAGGAAATCCATGTGGCGTTGCAACGCACATGGTTCCCTCAGCTCCCTCAGTGACTCCTTCGGGTCCGGCTACTTCCTTGGACTCGCTTGGACTGCCAAGAACAGAAGTGGCGTTAGTTCAGAGCATCTTCAGTCCCGAGAGTTGTGTCATGTTGTGTCCTTGCGATTGGTTAGAAAGGGTTCTTGCAAATCAGAAGACCAGTGCCACAAGCGCAGTAGCTGAGCGCCCAGGCCCCGACGGCCACCCCAACGCCTGCCCCAGGTGTCTGCCAGTGTTGTGGGGCGAAGGGCTTGAGTCGTTTGGAAGAATTGCGTTGAAGCAGCCGGGGATGTGATGGGCATTGAGTTCATCGGAGTGTTGAAAGCAGGAGCCTTCTTGTGAAGTGACATGCCGGCTTGTAGCCTGCGTTACCTTGTTTGGAAGAATGCAGCTCTTTGCAGGTGCGGTCTTTGCCCCATGCTCGCGAAGTGGATGCCCCTGCCCAGCATCCTGGAACGGCCAGGCCGGGCAACATTGTCCGGCCCCCAGTTGCACAGTTGCACAGTTGCGGCAAGGTGACCAGGAACACACGGCTTTGTTGCAACAGCTGGACGCCTGCATGTTGCTTTGAGGCTGCAAGCGCTGCCAGGGAGGAAATCCATGTGGCGTTGCAACGCACATGGTTCCCTCAGCTCCCTCAGTGACTCCTTCGGGTCCGGCTACTTCCTTGGACTTGCTTGGACTGCCAAGAACAGAAGTGGCGTTAGTTCAGAGCATCTTCAGTCCCGAGAGTTGTGTCATGTTGTGTCCTTGCGATTGGTTAGAAAGGGTTCTTGCAAATCAGAAGACCAGTGCCACAAGCGCAGTAGCTGAGCGCCCAGGCCCCGACGGCCACCCCAACGCCTGCCCCAGGTGTCTGCCAGTGTTGTGGGGCGAAGGGCTTGAGTCGTTTGGAAGAATTGCGTTGAAGCAGCCGGGGATGTGATGGGCATTGAGTTCATCGGAGTGTTGAAAGCAGGAGCCTTCTTGTGAAGTGACATGCCGGCTTGTAGCCTGCGTTACCTTGTTTGGAATAATGCAGCTCTTTGCAGGTGCGGTCTTTGCCCCATGCTCGCGAAGTGGATGCCCCTGCCCAGCATCCTGGAACGGCCAGGCCGGGCAACATTGTCCGGCCCCCAGTTGCACAGTTGCACAGTTGCAGCAAGGTGACCAGGAACACACGGCTTTGTTGCAACAGCTGGACGCCTGCATGTTGCTTTGAGGCTGCAAGCGCTGCCAGGGAGGAAATCCATGTGGCGTTGCAACGCACATGGTTCCCTCAGCTCCCTCAGTGACTCCTTCGGGTCCGGCGCCTCTTGCTGCCGGCCCTGGTGCCTTCTCGAAGTGGCTTGCTGCAAGTTGAGCGGTCTGACATCAGAATTAGGCTTTCCAGCCCGTCGAATGAAAGAGCACGCAGCAAGGTGTGCAAGACCTGGGTGCCGCTGCGCAGCTTCTTATGATGGACTGCCTACAAGCTACTGTTGCAAAGCCTGCCGTAATGGGACTCCTTGCAGCAGCCACCTGATCGCAAGTACATTGACAGGGGTGCGGTGATATTTCCCCTTTTGGAAGGATCAAACATTGCAGTTTCATGACCATTTCAAAGGGGTTTCCCTGAAATGGTGCAATGTTTGGGTGGGAAATATAGGCAAGATGGTCGCAGGATTCTCCTGGCCCGCTCATTGAGCCCCGCTTCAGGAAATGTGCACACTGTGCCTCAAGTTCAAGCAGGACCGTCAGCCACATCCTCCAACCTTTGCGCCGCCGGCTGCGGGCGCAAAACCTGGAACGGCAAGGTTGGCGAGCGACTTGGAAACAAGCTGTGGGTCCTGGGGTTGAAAAGGCCTTTAAAAGGAAGGTTGTTCCGCAAAGGCCTTTGTTTGTCCTTTTAAAGGAAGAGTACGGTGAGTGGTGACCCTTTCTTTTCATAGCCTTTGACTTCCAGGGAGGGTGCTCTGCGCATTTGGGCTTGGGATGCTTTGCCATTCTGGGATGGCTAGCTGGGTGGCTCGCAAGGTTTTGTGGACAGACATGCCGACAGAAGTATTCGCAGCTGCCGCCGACTCTCCAGCTGAAGGACTACGCAGGAATCAAGGCCAAGAGCGGGTGCCAGGCTTTCACACGCGGGTGCTACGCCAGCCGCCGACGCTACATGATGCTGGCATTCATGCTCAAGGGGATGCCATGGGACCACACAAATGGCCCACAGTTGTCGGGCACAAGTTCAACATGTTTGTGCCCGACAAAACTTCTGAGGAAAAGTGCCATATAAGCATCGGCATTTCAGCCGAGATGACTCAGCAATAGGCCAGAAATGCCTCGAAATCACACGCGCAAATCACGGAACATTAGCAGAATCAGCAACAAATTGAGCAAACCCGTGTAACAAACGATCCCAAACCACTAATTGCCCGCCAAAATGGCCCGTGGTTGTCAGGCACGAGGTAGACATGTTCGTGCCCGACAAAGTCTCCAAGCACATACTGGCTACGGCCTCCGAGTTGACTCAGCAATAGCGATGATACTTAGGATGTTTTTGAGCAGGCCGCCCTGGTACCCTGGCGAAGTACGAAAAAGCACCAATTTACCAATCCAAGAGCCGTTGCTTCCCGAGTCCACATTCCAGCACCCTAAGGCCCGAAACGCTTCGAAGTACCTCCGAACAAGCACGCGGCAAAATCATGGAACACAAGCTAAATCAGCAACAAATTGAGCCGATCCCATATTACAAATGCATCCCACAACCGCAAAACCAAGGACATGAGCAAAAACAACTGCAGCCGGTGATGCTGGGGATGCACCAGCGAATGCAAGAAAACACTGTGTTTTTGCATATTTCCAAAAAATCACACAAGACAAACCAGCTGTAAACAAATCAAGATTATGGCCTACTGTTGTCGGGCACAAGTTCAACATGTTTGCGCCCGACAACATTTCTGAGGACAAACTGGCAAAGGTGCCACGTAAGGTCTGCACAAATGGCCCACAGTTGTCGGGCACAAGTTCGACATGGTTGTGCCCAACAAAATGTCCGAGGACAAACTGGCAAAAGTGCCACGTAAGGTTTGCGCAAATGGCCCACGGTTGCCGGGCTCAAGTTCAACATGTTTGTGCCCGACAAAACTTCTGAGGAAAAGTGCCATATAAGCATCGGCATGTCAGCCGAGATGACTCAGCAATAGCGATGATGCTAGGGATGTTTTTGAGCAGGCCCTGGCAAAATGCGAAAAGCAGCGCAAATATGCATGCTCCAGCATCCCCAGGCCAGAAATGCCTCGAAATCACACGCGCAAATCACGGAACATCTGCAGAATCAGCAACAAATTGAGCAACAAAAGATCCCAAACCACCAACTGCCCGCCAAAATGGCCCATGGTTGTCAGGCACGAGGTAATCTTGGGACTTGATTAATAAATCCTTCCGGAATAATGACTTTTTCTTGCCCCGGGCCAGAAAAAATCCAATACTTATTTTTAATTAGCCAATACATAGTTTAGTCTTGGTGCCCCAGTTGACACAAGAAATCCCCCCGGAATAATAACTTTTCCGAGGCCAGAACTCCCAAAATTCGATTACTAGTTTTCATCTCCCCAATACTAATTGCAATTCAAACCCGGTGGCCAAGCAAACAAACACACGGTTTCTTGGACTTTAGCACTGCCTCCCCCACATCAAAGCAACCCCCCTACAACTATGCTGTTGCACGCTTTAGCTACCAGAAAAATCATTCCTGCACTGTCATACTGCAGCCCCACAGCACTTGCAAGCCTTGCCTGTGGCCCATCGAGGTTCCACTGGTGTGCCAGGCTGCTTTGGACACGTGTTGGGTGCTTCGGGTTGTTTATTGAAACCTGCTGCTTCCTCAGCACTTGCAAGCCTTGCCTGTGGCCCATCGAGGTTCCACTGGTGTGACAGGGCTGCTTTGGAAACTTGTTGGTGGCTTTGGGTTGTTTATTGGACCCTGGTGCTTCCCCAGCACTTGCTGCCTGGCCCGTGGCTTCAGTGAGCTCCCCTGGTGTGGCAAACCAAATCGGGCACTTGTCCTGGCTTTTGCTCCGGTGAGCTTCCACTGTGGCAGTGCCAGTCCTGGAGGTTGTGTGCAGCACTTTGTGGCCTTGCCTGTGGCTCCAGGTGTGGCAGGGCCAGTTTGGACCCTTGGGGTTGCTCGACCTAGCCAGCCTGCTGTGTAAGCAAAATTCCTTCCCGCGCCGTGCTGGGTTCAATTCCCGGTGGCATCTTTTTCCTTGTGCTGGTTCCTTTCCTCTTGCTGTGGTGGCTTTGGTTTTTTTTCTGCTCTGGGGGTTGTCTTTGAGTTTCAGCTCAGTTCCAAACCCAAAGCTCCAACACGCTTCACCAGCACCAAAACTTAAGTACTCAGCTTGTACTGAAGACCTTAGACTTTTCATCCTTGCGTGGACTTCTGCACAGCAAGGCTCAGCAAGCGGTCTCCCCCTACAATAGTAGCAGTACCCAGAATAATGGCCAAGCCCTGCAGCCACTGGTTCCCACATTCCCAAACCAAAAGCTCCAAACAATTCCAAAACCCCAAACTTCATCAGCACCAAAACTTGCAATCCCAAGTACTCAGCTTGTACTGAAGACCTTAGACTTTTCATCCTTGCATGGACTTCTGCACAGCAAGGCGCAGCAAGCGGTCCCCCCCTACAATAGTAGCAGTACCCAGAATAATAGCCAAGCCCTGCAGCCACTGGCCCCCAAATTCCCAAACCCAAAGCTCCAAACAATTCCCAAATCCCAAACTTCACCAGCACCAAAACTTGCAATCCCAAGTACTCAGCTTGTACTGAAGACCTTAGACTTTTCATCCTTGCATGGACTTCTGCGCAGCAAGGCTCAGCAAGCGGCGCCCCCCTACAATAATAGCAGTACCCAGAATAGTGGCCAAGCCCTGCAACCACTGGCCCACAAATTCCCAAACCCAAAGCTCCAAACAATTCCAATCCCAAACTTCACCAGCACCAAAACTTGCAATCCCAAGTACTCAGCTTGTACTGAAGACATTAGACTTTTCATCCTTGCATGGACTTCTGCACAGCAAGGCTCAGCAAGCGGTGCCCCCCTACAATAATAGCAGTACCCAGAATAGTGGCCAAGCCCTGCAACCACTGGCCCACAAATTCCCAAACCCAAAGCTCCAAACAATTCCAAAATCCCAAACTTCACCAGCACCAAAACTTGCAATCCCAAGTACTCAGCTTGTACTGAAGACCTTAGACTTTTCATCCTTGCATGGACTTCTGCACAGCAAGGCTCAGCAAGCGGTGCCCCCCTACAATAATAGCATTACCCAGAATAATGGCCAAGCCCTGCAGCCACTGGTTCCCACATTCCCACAATTCCAAAATCCCAAACTTCATCAGCACCAAAACTTGCAATCCCAAGTACTCAGCGACCTTAGACTTTTCATCCTTGCATGGCCTTCTGCACAGCAAGGCTCAGCAAGCGGTGCCCCCCTACAATAATAGCAGTGCCCAGAATAGTGGCCAAGCCCTGCAACCACTGGCCCACAAATTCCAAAACCCAAAGCTCCAAACAATTCCAAAACTTGCAATCCCAAGTACTCAGCTTGTACTGAAGACCTTAGACTTTTCATCCTTGCATGGACTTCTGCACAGCATCAGCAAGCGGGCCCCCTAATAGCATTACCCAAGAATAATAGCCAAGCCCTGCAGGCCACTGGTTCCCACATTCCCAAACCAAAAGCTCCAAACAATTCCAAAATCCCAAACTTCATCAGCACCAAAACTTGCAATCCCAAGTACTCAGCTTGTACTGAAGACCTTAGACTTTTCATCCTTGCATGGACTTCTGCACAGCAAGGCTCAGCAAGCGGTGCCCCCCTACAATCATAGCATTACCCAGAATAATGGCCAAGCCCTGCAGCCACTGGTTCCCACATTCCCAAACCAAAAGCTCCAAACAATTCCCAAATCCCAAACTTCATCAGCACCAAAACTTGCAACCCCAAGTACTCAGCTTGTACTGAAGACCTTAGACTTTTCATCCTTGCATGGACTTCTGCGCAGCAAGGCGCAGCAAGCGGTGCCCCCCTACAATAATAGCATTACCCAGAATAATGGCCAAGCCCTGCAGCCACTGGCCCCCAAATTCCAGCTGCCAGGCCTACACTACTCCCTACAATAATAAAACCCCCTCAGAATAAATGCCATCTACAAACCAGAATTCCACAAAACAACTGCACCTTCAATCTAATTTTAAATTGCCCTTCACTTTTCTTCTTTCTTGTCTCTCTGCCTTCCCATCCCCCCCTCCCCCCTTCCACCCCCCCACAATTTGGACCCAGGCTTGTTGTGGGGGGGGGGGGACCGGGGGGGGGGGGGCCTCGTGCCCGACAAAATCTCCAAGCACATGCTGGCTACGGCCTCCGAGTTGACTCAGCAATAGCGATGATACTTAGGATGTTTTTGAGCAGGCCGCCCTGGTACCCTGACGAAACACGAAAAAATACAAATTTACCAAGCCAAGAGCTGTTGCTTCCCGAGGCCACATTCCAGCACCCTAAGGCCCGAAACGCTTCGAAATACCTCCGAACAAGCACGCGGCAAAATCATGGAACACAAGCCAAATCAGCAACAAATTGAGCCGATCCCATATTACAAATGCATCCCACAACCGCAAAACCAAGGACATGAGCAAAAACAGCTGCAGCTGGTGATGCTGGGGATGCACCAGCGAATGCAAGAAAACACTGTGTTTTAGCATATTTCCAAAAATCATACAAGATAAACCAGCCGTAAACAAATCCACATTATGCCCTACTGTTGTCGGGCACAAGTTCAACATGTTTGCGCCCGACAACATTTTTGAGGACAAACTGGCAAAGGTGCCACGTAAGGTCTGCACAAATGGCCCACAGTTGTCGGGCGCAAGTTCGACATGGTTGTGCCCAACAAAATGTCCGCCACGTAAGCTTTGCGCAAATGGCCCACGGTTGTCGGGCGCAAGTTCGACATGGTTGTGCCCAACAAAATGTCCGAGGACAAACTGGCAAAAGTGCCACGTAAGGTTTGCGCAAATGGCCCACGGTTGTCGGGCACAAGTTCAACATATTTGTGCCCGACAAAACTTCTGAGGAAAAGTGCCATATAAGCATCGGCATTTCAGCCGAGATGACTCAGCAATAGCGATGATGCTAGGGATGTTTTTGAGCAGGCCCTGGCAAAATGCGAAAAGCAGCGCAAATATGCATGCTCCAGCATCCCCAGGCCAGAAATGCCTCGAAATCACACGCGCAAATCACGGAACATCAGCAGAATCAGCAACAAATTGAGCAAACCCGTGTAACAAAAGATCCCAAACCACCAACTGCCCGCCAAAATGGCCCATGGTTGTCAGGCACGAGGTAGACATGTTCGTGCCCGACAAAATCTCCAAGCACATGCTGGCTACGGCCTCCGAGTTGACTCAGCAATAGCGATGATACTTAGGATGTTTTTGAGCAGGCCGCCCTGGTACCCTGACGAAACACGAAAAATACAAATTTACCAAGCCAAGAGCCGTTGCTTCCCGAGTCCACATTCCAGCACCCTAAGGCCCGAAACGCTTCGAAATACCTCCGAACAAGCACGCGGCAGAATCATGGAACACAAGCTAAATCAGCAACAAATTGAGCAGATCCCATATTACAAATGCATCCCACAGCCGCAAAACCAAGGACATGAGCAAAACAGCTGCATCTGGTGATGCTGGGGATGCACCAGCGAATGCAAGAAAACACTGTGTTTTTGCATATTTCCAAAAAATCACACAAGATAAACCAGCCGTAAACAAATCCACATGATGGCCTCCGAGATGACCTAGCAATGGCGATGATGCTGGGGATGTTTTTGAGCAGGCCGCCCTGGTACCCTGGCGCAGTACGAAAACCAACACACATTTGCCAATCCAAGAGCCGTGTCTCCCTGAGTCCATATCCAGCATCCCAAAGCCCGAAATCCCTCAAAACAAGCACGCGCCAAAATTATGGAGCACAAGCTGAATCAGCAATAAATTGCCCGAAAAACTGTTTGAGGCAAACCCCCCCCCAGAAGGCCTAGACGAAATGCAGATTTGACAGCACAGAAGCAACAAAACACTGAAAATTTACAGGGTTTTGCACACCCTGCAATTTTCAGCCAAGAATACCAGTCCCAAAAGCCTTCGGCTTTACAAGGAATTCCGGAGGAAGACCTGCTCACAAGAAAATCCTTGCCATCTACACGCTCGACTAGCGTCGGCGGATTCCCTAAATGTGTGCTGCTTAGGCTTGTGTGTCACCAGTACCTGGCAGATGTTGTGTGGTTTCGCCGTTTACTGTTGACTGCAGCCTGTGTGGTCATCACTCACCACATGCAGCCCCCCATGTACGCATTGCGTGATGGTCTGCTGATGCTTTGAGTGCTGCGTAGGGTGTTGAGCCTTCTTACTGTTTCGAGTTCCACGCAAGCTGGCACTTTGCTGAAGTTGACCTCGGCTTCTTTGCATCAGCCATCTGCTGCCTTTGGACAGCACGGAAATTGCATTTTGTGTTTGTTGTTGAAGGCATCTATGGGATTGCGTGACCCCCTTCAGATGGGCAGACGAGGTTTGCCTCAGCGCCACGACATCCGCAAAATCCCAGTCATCGTTCGCCTGACCGCTATGCCAACAGCCCAAACCCTCAATCTCCCCATGTGCTTTCCCTTAATTAGCTGGCAAGCAAGTTGCCTACAAAGCAAAACAGAAGACTGGAACCTGTTGCAGACCGAACAAAAGGGTCGTGTTCGCAACTCCAAACGAGCTCCAGCTACATTCTGAGCTGTTGCAAAGTTTGTTTTTGCTTTACAACTGCAGACATGGGCTGCTGGTGCGCACTGGATTGTTCCAAAGCCAGGAGGTACTCTTTCCCTGACGGCAGGCCCAGGCGAACCTTTGGCGTCTCACAGTGTGGCCGGCAGCGATGGGCAAAGGCATTTTCTATGGCAACCGTGGCCTTGGTGCTGAACTTAGAGTGCCAAGATGTGGGTGTCAAAATCGGTTTGGACTCCCTTGTTGGTTGGTTTTAACGGGAAACGTCAGGAAAAACGTCCAGTTTGGGGGTCTCCTATTTGAGACACACCCGTGCGGGTTAGCATGACAGCATTTGCCGCTGCCCAAGGAGATCCCTCCTGTCCAGCAATGCGCAAATATGAAGCCGGTTTGGCGGCGCTTGGTTTGACAAACACGGCGAACAGTCATTTGGCTGGAAGATGCTGGAAGATGCAGCACAGGGTGGCACCAAACATCGTGATGTCACTCCAACCAAGGTGAGTTTGCTTGGCATGGCACCAGAAGTGCTGCCAACGTGATGAGCATATGTTGGGACAACTTGGACCCACAGCGGCGAAGCGGGCAGGCCAGGTCAGGCCAGTGCAGGTTTTGGGCGGGGCCCCCTGGGTCGACAGGCCTATGGCCGCGGCGAGTACTTCAGCACGAACGCCAGCGTCTCGGACAGCTACGCAGGGAGTACCGGGTACCTCATCCTGTTCCTTCTGCTCCGCGGCGCGCGCAACACCGCCTGCAATGGCAACTACAGGGCAGCTTGAGCCAGGAAATAGGAAGGTTTCAGCAGGGAGGCGCCTTCTGGGAAGTCAGGGGCGTGTGCAGGTTTCAGGGCCCCCCTCCACCCAAAAAAAGCAAACGGCTTTGCGCTCGGATTGGTTGAATGGTTGGCTCGGGGAGTGTTTAGGGCCGATTTAGGGGTTCCGCCGGGAATGCTGTATGCAAACCATAGGAAACAACTTAACTTGGATTTCTATTTGTGCCTGTCACGGAAGCAGTCGGGAAGCCCAACTTGACAAAACCATGATTGCGGGCATTTCATGTTTTTTCAAGTCAGTGTTGGGGCGGTCGGGATAGTTGGGATGGCTGGAACTGTGGGCCGCGCTATGTTCAAAGATTCCGGCATAGTTTCTGATTCGACTTCTTATCAAGTCAGCGTCCGATTCTGACCAGTCTGGTTTCTGATTCAAAGTGTCTGATTCAACCAATGCATTTCCGATTCTTGGCCAAAGTTTCCGACTTGCGGTTTCTGATTTGCTGCAGTTTCCTATGCCTAGTTCCCAATCCGTAGTTTCCGAATCGACCCTCACCCACTTGGAGAGAAGACTCACAGGTTACCTGGTTAGGGACATTCATGGAATAAGCGGGTATTTGGCATCCAGATCTTCGATTTGAATTCGCCCCCTAGATCTCGGCCCGAGTGCCTGTCAGTGGTGGATCCACGGCAGCTGAAGATCGGGAGATTTCGCCCCATGGCTGTGCGGCTCGGACTCCGACCTTCGGAAGTTGGTCACAGCTGGACTGGGCTCCTCCGCCGCGGTGAGGACACTAGGCGCCCCCTTGTGAGGGCCGTGGCTTGTGGTTTCGACCTGGTCCTCCTGGTCCCCTTTGACCTCTTCACGCAGGGAGACCTAATCACGATCTACCAAGGCCAGATCACCAAGGACTCCAGCGACCTCCTCAAGTGCTCGCTGGATGAACACTCAAGCTGGTACCCGCATACCTCCTTGGGTGCGGGTGCCTTCTGGAGCCTTCGGGACGCCTGTGCAGGTTTGGGAGGCATCGCCATGGGCCTCAACCAGATGGACATTTCGGCCACTGCCCACCTGGATGCGAACGAGTTCTGCTGCAACACGCTCAAGATGAACGACGCCAAGGGGGTCATCCATGGCGACATCAACAACCACCAGGACGTCGAGCAATTGCATAGCATGGATTATGCACGGAAATCCCTGCTGGCAGCAGGACAACCCCTCTCCACACAAGGGGATTGGCAGCACTACCTTCTGGGGAGTGCTTCGGGCAGCCTGGCTTCTGCAACCCCCCACCCTCATCCTGGAGTGTGCAGCCAACATGGCTCGCTTCCCCTTCATCGCCGAGGGTCTCCGCACGCTGGCCAACATGATGGAATACCAGGTACGCACACTACAGATTTCTTTGCATCACCAATGGCCACTGCAGAAGGGACTGCCTGCAGAACCGGAAGGTGTGTAAATCAAGCATTCGTGTTCACGAAACAACGAAGGCTTTAAAAGTAAGCATTCGTGGTCGTGTAGCTACCGTGAGGAAAGTTATCGTGAGAACGCGAGAACAAGCTCGCCAGGCGCACGGCCATAGGCATTCTTGCTGGCCATGGAACATGCGCAAACCGGCAGGATCATCAACAATGATGGTCGCAATTCCGTCCAGGCATTGCCGCTGGGTGGGCGCGGGCGTTCGTCATCAGAAGTATGGCCACGTCACGCCCCCCTGAGGCAGAAATGAGCCGGCGCATGAGAGCATGAGTCGTGCGCCAGGGGCCAATCACACGTAAAATGGCGCTGCGTCAATGGTCCGCAAGGCTAGGCAACTTGCCATCCAGGCGCGCACAGATGCAGCCATGTTCAGATTTTACGGCTCAGGGGCAAAAGCGCTGGCGGCAAAGCTGAAGCGAATGCCTTCAAACGGTGTTTCGCATACAGTGGGCGTGCGCAGAAGCGACGGACATTTGCAGAATAAACGCAGAAGTGTCTACTTCCAGCGCAAAGCCTGCCCAAATCGCAAAGTTCGCAAAAGCTCGTTCGAGCGCAAAACTGACTTTGGAAGCCGTTGGCAGAGCAAGTGGCTTGCGCATCCAGCGCGCGCATGTGTGAGACCATTCCTCAAGCGTCGCGGCGCGAGCACACGCCGGGCGCGCGCCTTGTCAGCCCACGTACGTCGCGATCAGGTTTTGGCCGCTTGGGCGATTTCAAGGGCCCTTTCAGCCTGAATGACGGAAACCCGCGAACCAAAGCGCAAACTAGGACTCGGGGCTGGAGGGAAAATAGCCCCAGAATGCGGCTGAGTCTTGGGCGCTCCTTCCCTAAGTCGGAACTTACTTTTGCTAGCCAGGATTTACTAGCCCCCCGGAAAATAGCAATTTACTAGGACTAGTTTCAAACAAGTTTGCTGAAGTATTTTTATTTGCTGGTTTTTGGCAATGTTGCATTTGCGTGTTAATTTCCTGCGATAGCGGAGGAAGGTTTCGGCGACGCCAGTCATTGATTGATTTTGCAGTTGGCTTTCGTTACCCGAGACACGCAGTTGCCTGACTTGAGTTTGCGGTGAAGCTTGTGGAGAGATCTATTTTTACATGACTGGAGGGAGGAGCTTACCTGGGGAGGCCTTGTCGGAATTGGAACAAACGCTTGCGGTTTCGTTGGCGCACAGTAATGTTTTGCTCCACAGCGATGTGGTGGTAAAGCACCCAGGTTGTGACTTGCGTGGCAGGCTACTTGCAACATGCGTCGGGGTAACTTAGGGGATTTTCGATGCCCACGCGGACTACTTCACAAGGTTAAGGCCAAGGTTCATAAGTCCACGCTAAGGTCGCTAAGTTAACCTGGCTGTAAAGCTTAGGCTTCTTGCTGTAAAGCCGGCTTGCTGCCTGTTTCTTCGAAAACAGCGCCCTTACCCCCCATTTTTCTGAACAGTAAGTTCATATCAATAAGCACTTGCACTGTGCGCAGGGACATCATGAACGCCTGAGCGTGTCTTTCTGTAGTTTGTTCCACGCGGGCAAGATATTGCGTAAAAGCAGGCTTCAGTGGTTGAATTTGTTCGCTGCGGCTTTGAAATCGTAATGGTATTCAAGCATATGTCCGCGACAACGCTTGTTGGCAAAGCTGAAGCTTGGCCATTTGGATAGTCTTTCTGCAACGTTGGCGGTTAGGTTAGTATCAGTGATGATAAAATATGATAAAATGGTTAAGCCTAGCATGCGTAGCGGCAATGCTGCTGTTGGTAGCGTGGCTTCTTGTTTTAGTTAGTAACAACCAGTTAACGCATAATGATGACATAGCTGGCACACAGCACAATCTGTGTTCCGTGGACATTCCCAACTACGCGCTAACTGTACCAACTACGTGTCAATCTCAGACAGTTTAGTGCCCGCTATACAAAAACCCGCCGTACTGAAAACGCGGTCCGGCAGCAAAGGCTACCCCGAAAAATCCGCCTTACTGAAAACTCGGTCCGTCAGGAAAAGCTACCAAACGAGCCCACCTTACTGAAAGCTTAGCCGAGCAGCGAAAGCTACCTAAACAAATCCGCCTTAGCAACAGTTCGGGCCGGCAGCATAGGCTACCGCAAACAAACACCTTACTGAAAGCTTGGCCCAAAGGCTACCAAAAAGAAACTCGGTCCGGCAGCAAAGGCTACCAAAAAAACGCCTTGGCGTAAACTTGATTCGCCAGCAAAGGCTACGCAAAAAATCCGCCTTGCTGAAAACTTGGTTCGGCAGCAAAGGTTGCCCCAAAAATCCGCCTTACTGAAAGATTGGCACAACAGCAAAGGCTACCCAGACAAATACGCCTTAGTAAAAACCGGGCCGTCTGCAAAGGCTACCACAAACAAACGATTTACTGAAAACTTGGCCCACCAGCAAAAGCTACCCAAAAAAACGCCTTACTGAAAACCCGGTCCGGCGGCAGGAGCTGCCAAACAAATCCGCCTTAAAGAACTTGCTGGAAGCTTGGTCCGCCAGCAAAGGCTACCCCAAAACATGCGCCTCACTGAAAACTCGGTCTGGCAGCAAAGGCCACCCAAAAATCCGCCTTGCTGGAAACTCTGTCCGCCAGCAAAGGCTACCAAAAATCCGCCTTACTGAAAACTCTTGTCCGCCATCAAAGGCTACCCAAAAATCCGCCTTGCTGGAAACTCTGTCCGCCAGCAAAGGCTACCACAAATCCGCCTTACTGAAGACTCTGTCCGCCAGCAATATCAAGAAATCCGCCTTACTGAAAACTCTTGTCCGCCAGCAAAGGCTACCAAAAAATCCGCCTTGCTGGAAACCCTGTCCGCCAGCAAAGGCTACCAAAAATCCGCCTGAATGAAAGCTCTTGCCCGCCAGCAAGGGCTGCCCAAAAATCCGCCTTGCTGGAAGGCAAAACAGCTTGCGAGTGAGCAGGATCGAGGCGAGCCAATCAAAATGAGGCATCGGCGAGAGGGAGCGGGGACGCGGCGGTGGTCGGACCCTTCGATCAGACGGGGCGCTGCCCGCTCCGCAGGGTGAAGCCTCCGCCACGCCACTGCGAACCGAAGCAACAGTTTGTCACTCTTACATCTGAAGCCGGTAAGCGTGCGACCGAGGCCCTCGCCAAGCACAGAGTAAGACAGTTTAAGTAAACAACATCGAAGAGCAAACTTGGGAAGCTCACTCTCTTCAGCTTGACGTGGCGTGCGTAAAAAGCGAACTTCGGAACCTCCGGTTCTTCAGCTAAACGCAGCTTGCCACGTAGCCTACACGGGCACTCCTGACCATGAAAGCGGGACCGTTCCGAACCTTTCCCAGCACCAAGCCTTCAAAGGAGTATAACTAGCTCACATGCCCAAGGATGGCGAACCTCGACGCTAAGGAGCAAGCTCTGACCCACCGCGGCTCAACTCACGCTACGTGTCAGGAACACGTTGGGTCTGCTTGTTTTCTGTTTGCGCTTAGTCCTGGAACTCGCGTGTGTGTGTGTGTGTAATGGAAGCATTGTGTTAGCGCTTGGGGCTCCCAAAGAAGCTGCCATCTCTGAAGCGACCGTGTTAGCGCCAAGCTTCGCCCGTGCACATCAAGCGCTTACCGCTTCTTTGCGCAAGACACAACCACTTGCGCAAACGCGGCCGGCTGCTAAACAAGATGCAACATGTTGTTGGTCGTGCAACATGGGCCGCGCCAACGCAAAACAAATGCATCGAAACAAATGCAGCAAAACCGCAGCGCGAAGTGTTCGTGCGTGTGGCCACGTGTACTGTCGCGCGCGTATGCTTGAAAACCCGGCGCTATGTTTGCACAGGCGGCGCCCCAACCACTCCTTGGGCTTTGTTGCAAGGCACGCGTCAACCAGCCAATGTATACGCGCAGGGGAATGGGTTTGGCCATGTTTCGTTTGCTCACTGCGGCCAAATGGATTTACACATTGTCAAGCAGTTTGTCATTGACTCGGTGGATGACCTTTCTTGGGGCTAAACCATTCCGCGCAACCCTCGGCTTGTTAGGCGCTTGTCTTACCAGCGTTACTGCAACGTTGGCGTTGACCTGTGGCTGGTGGCGCATATCATCTGGGAGTTTGTGATGTACGAATTTCAATGCGCGAATCTCAATCACACGTGTATTTCGCTGTGAGAAAAACACGCGCGAGCCAGAATCGAGCATTCGTGAGACGAGACAAGCCTTCGTGCGTCGTGAAACGCCAAAAACTTATCCTAGTCTATTCGCGCGGCCAAAAGGAGCCTTGCGCGGGAAGGCTTGCCTTGCAAGCTTTGGGAAAAACACGTTTTTCCGAAATCGCATGGTCAAACAGCACGATCGTGTGTCGTGTGACACAAATGCTTGGTGTTGCCTCTCGGGCGGGCAATCATACATGTTCGTGCACGAATGCTTGATTTACACACCTTCCGGTTCTGCAGGTGTTGGTGGGTTTTGGTTGCTCCAGCCCTCTGGATTTCTCGGACCTACAAGCCTGACCACTTGCAAAAGACCTCCAACAGGTTCACGAGATCCCTAGGCTGCCTTCACCCCTTTGCTGGACTTCGCAGCTACCTTCTGAGTGGCGCAAAATTGTTCGGAGCTCCTCGCTAATTCGTTCTGGACCCAATTTTGTGTGCGGCCTTCTTGAGTTTTTCCTGAGAGACCGACAAGATGCTGACACCAGCCACTGTGATTGCCGCTTACGCTAGGATTAAGGGCATCCCTTTCGCAATTGCGACTGCCTCCGAAACCGGAGGAAGCTGGAGGGATCCCGTTCGAGCTGTTCTTCGTGGTGTTTCCCGCAATGGACATCGGTGAAACCCGAGGACTCTACCTCTCTGCATTCAGGGTGGGACCACCCCAGGCAGGTTGCTACATGCCTTTTTCCAGGTCTCCCTTGAGGCAATTAATGCCAGGATCCTGGGCTTAACATCGGCTGAGCCGAGTAGGTCCTCCAATGACCTCTCTCGGCCACAGTGCTGAGCTGAACTCGCGCACCGCTCTGCTGCCGCTGAGCGTGCGCCGCAATGAAGGGTGAATGAATGAATGAATTCGCCCCCTGCTTCCTACTCAAGCGCCGCAGTGACACACTCCGCGCTTTCCCGCTGCATGCACACTATTCGTATTCCGCTCCAGGTATGGCATCCTAATCCAGGCACCCAAAAATACCCCGCGAGTGTCTCGCTCCTAGTACCACGCGAGAATCCTGTTCCAAGTACCCGTGAGTGCGAGTAGTCCGCTCCTTCGCTGGGGCACAAGCTAAAGTACATGGATATCTTGAGGAATGCTTCTGCTGCAAACCCGCATTTGGCAGATACGACCAGGCATGTGAGCCATGGCCAATACTCTATACTAATTGTGGCATTGGTACAAAGGTAATGACATAATGACACAGGGTACACTCACCAAATTACAATCAACAAATTTACATGTGGATAGATCGCCAAATGTCCATGTCCATTGCAGGCACAATTAAGATTGACCAAGCCTCAGGTTGAACAGTTTGTAACAACAGGAATAATAATGGCTAGGTTCACGTTGAGTTCAATTTGAATCACAACATTGTTTATTAAGTTGGCCCGCCAATTGGAGGAAACAACAATACACTGTCCTTTAAACCTTATTGCGCATGATTGCCACGTTGTTCTCGATGCCCTTAAGCGTAATTAATTAAAGCAGGCGCGGCGAAGCACTGGTTTTTAGTGGAACACCCCAGGCCTAGAAAGCCTATGTTTGGCTCTGTAGAACAAACCGCCTATCATCAATTGTTTCAGGGACCTATAAGATGTGTGTTCTGCCTGGGAAACGAGCGCAAAGACGAGGAGGGAGCATCATTGCCTCATGGCCTTTGCCACAAAGAATGCCCACTGTTGAGCCAGAAATATGGGGCGCAGTGTGTGTGTGTGTTTGCGCCGTGCTGAGGTGGTAGACAACCCTACTGATGGCAGAACGATGTACTGCCTGCCCGTGGGCGTGGTCGACTACAGAGCCAACGGGGATCCGAAACTCAAGGGCGCCGGTAATTTTTGAAGCTGACTTTCTCAAACAGTGATTGCAGCTTCTTCAGAGCTTGTCCACGGCAAAGGCCATGTGAAGCCAATCATATTTTGGCAGACGGTCGAAGGCCTGCGGAGTTTCAAGACGAGGAATCCAGGGCCCAGCGTGGTCCACACCACTGCCAAATCTATTGACTGCTCATGAATTGGCCAGTAAGCTGTGCGCAGTTTGGATACGGCCTTTGAGCGTTGCAAAAGGGGGAAAGCCAACTTTTATGCGTATGTCGCGCGCCCTTTGTGCAAGACTGATGGCAGGTCCAAGGGCAAAAAGGAGCGCGCAGCATTTGAAGCAGTCAGGATGGCCAAGAGCATGTGCAGGCATGGGCACACATGAGTTGAATCAACGTGCTGCAACCAACGTGTTGCGCACGTTCCAAAGCAGCACATGGCGCACCAAGCAGATCATGACCAGCCCGTGGACACAAATCCTGGCAGCCCAGCCAAGTGTGTGGCTCCGGCCCTGAAATCTAACGCAAGAAGTTGAACATAAGTTGCGCATTTCAGCCAAGTCTGTCCCATGGCAAGGCCATAGGATGTGGCTGCAAGATGGCATGCTTCCATCAAACAAGGCATGTTGGCTCTCGGAGTGCGCTGGAGGATTCTCAAAGCCAGCCATGGGTGTCGTTAGCGTGGAAAAGTCCGGAGGCCAACGAACCAATTGGTTGTACTTGTTTGTATGGCTGAGGCTTTAGACCAACAGATTCCAAGGGTTAGGCAAACAAGTTAGCTCCAACGTGTTGAACAAAGTTGCTTGCTAGTGAGGCACACAGGCAAAGCTCTAACAAGCGCTGGCTGGAAGTGGGCGAAGCTGCTGCCTTTGCCAGCTAACAAGCGCAGTCTGCAAACACATTCGCTCAGATTCGCCCTGGCAACAGTAGCTCATCAACCAGATGAGCGTCCAGTATTCCGTTCACGCAGTTTGTTGAACACTTGTCCAGGTTTGCAGTACACGGACTAAGGGACTGGCGGAGCCAACCATGACATCCACGACCTTATTTTGTTGCACCATTAGTCCCAGCAATGTTATGACATGTTGATAGGCTGTTCTACTTTGCAGAGTGACACAGGCGGCTGGCAGCTGGATCAGACACAGGTAGCCGGCGGCGAGCTCCGTTTGAGAACGCATTGTCGGGAACGGAAAGGGATTCAGGAGGAGCGTGCCGGCCTGTTGCGTGCAGGCAAGTTCCACGTAGCTGTTCCAACTCAGTTGTCCATGGGGTTAGCAGCTTCAAGGCATACGCGCGGCGCAGCCTGGCTCCAGTCAGATGGGAGACGTGGCAGCCAAGCAGGCGAAAACTTAAAGGAGGCCGATGAATTTGTTCATATTTGTCCTGCCGTTATGCTTCAGCAGCTGTGAGCGTCGATCCCCTTCCCCGAGTTTGCAAGAGTGGCGCGCGCACAAGCGTTCGCCGCACTGTCGCGCCTTTGGCAGCTTGGCGTTGTGCTCTTGGCCTGTATGCATCACACGCATCAGACGCATCACACACATAAAGACACACAGACACAGACAGACACCTACACATACACACACACACGCACCAATGCACCAATGAACAAATGCACCTGTGCACCTGTGGACCTGTGCGCCTGTGCACGCACGCACGCACGCACGCGCGCACGCACGCACGCACGCACGCATGCACGTACACCCAAACGCACGCATTCAACGTATGCGCGCCCACACGCACGCACGCACGCACGCACGCACGCACGCACGCAGACACACACACACACACCCACCCACCCACCCACCCACCCACCCACCCACCCACCCACGCACGCACGCACGCACGCACGCACGCACGCACGCACGCACGCACGCGCGCGCGCGCGCGCGCGCGCGCCCGCCCGCCCGCCCGCACGCACGCACGCGCCGCACACGCACACGCACACGCACACGCACACGCACACGCACACGCACACGCACACGCACACGCACACGCACACGCACACACACACACACACACACACACACACACACACACACACACACACACACACACACACACACACACACACACACACACACACACACACACACACACACACACACACACACACACACACACACACACACACACACACACACACACACACACACACACACACACACACGAAAGCCCACGACCACGCGCACGCTCGCAAGCACACGCACACGCCCAGGCCCACGCAGGCACTCGCGCATGCGCACGCGCACACGCGCACACAGCGCTCGAGAAATCACTCTCTTACCTTTTTTTAAGCATTCTTTTTTGCTAGCTTCGGAGTGGACGGACCCAGGCGCGAGAATGTCATAATTCAGGAAGGACACGGCCGGGCAGGGCCTGCAAGAGATTGCAAGAGTATTTGTATTTGTCCTGGCGGCACTCAGTGAAGGAAGGCTAGCGGTTGCACGGAAAGAATTGCCGTGTCATGCGCGCAGTGGTTGGGGTCCATGCCAGTGGTTCGATTGTGGAGGAGTCGTGAAAAGATTCCTGTTTGTCTCCATTTTAGCGTTGGGCTCTCCGCAGGGACCACAACAAACTTGATCTCCGGGCACGGGAGAAACCCCGTAGCCGCATAATGATCATAATGCCGCATAGCTATTTGGTCACTTCAGCGTCCACAGCCGCTGGGCTCCTGGACTGAGTACTCAGTCTACTGCGCTACCGCATTTTGTGTTTTCCGGATAACATGACACACCACGCACAGGCAATGCACGCCACAATGCGTAATGCGCTTGTCATCACTGTGACAGATGGAAAGGCTGCTCCTGGCAATTCAATGTCAGCTCAAAGAGCACCAGGCTTGCTCGAAGCTTAAGTATTGGGGACAACACAGGACAACACAATCTCGCAGAGATGTTGTTGAGTGTTATTGTTTCCCCTTGGCTCCATAAAATAAGGGGGGCCCTATGAAGCAGCCGTGGCCCAGCCAGTTCCCTTTCCAGGGGCAGGCAATGTGTCAACGCGGCAATCTCTTTCGCGGCTTGAGCTGCGCAGCTTGTTACGGAGTTGAACGGGCCCTTGCAGCATTTTTGGACCGGCGCTTTGGAGGCCATGAGCCTTGAAGATGGGAAAGCTCGGTGAACTGGCAGCGCAGCCGAAGCTTAGCAGGATTCCAGCATGCAGGGCTCCGAGAGCGTGTTTGTTGAAAGCCATGTTTGGAAGCACAGATGTACAAGGATGCACCAGAATGCCAAAGTGCTGGAAGGTGTTAGGACTCCACAAAAGCAAAGCAGAGATCACCCAAGCCGCTTTGTGAGCATGGTGTACAGCAAGGGGTTCGAAGAGAGACAACCATGGCTCGTGATGATTGGGCCATGCATTTCAACCCACGCAGCACAATGAGTTGTTACCTTGCACCTTTTCTTTTAGACTTTTTAGGCTGTGTATGTGTGTGTGCGTTTGGTACTTGACAGAAGGTTGGCTTGAGAGTTAAATAGATTTGGGAAGGCTGCTTGGTTTTGTGGTTTTGTTTCCCGGACAAAGCTTTGTGCGCCAGCTGGACTCGTCCAAGGAGGATGTCTGACACTGAAGACCTACCTGATCCTCCCGACGCGGCAAGAGAACCACACCCTTCGCCTGCCGGACCGTTTGGTGGGGCATGAGGCAGTTGGCCACGAAGCATATTAGTAACCAATATGTTGAAGCGCAAGCAGAGGGCAGCTGGCAATTGGGCGTCGTGCGTGCGCGCGCGTGCGTGCGTGTGCGCGCACGCGCGGGCGGGTGGGCGGGCGGGCGGGCGGGCGGGCGCGTGGGCGGGTGTGCGTGTGGGTGTTTGTGTGTGTGTGTGTAACATACTAGTTCATGTATGCATGGCTGTGGCAAGACGCGAAATCAAAAGGAGTCGATGGACGTGACAGTGATGCTGGCAACCATTCTGAAGAGCCCTACCAGCATTACTGGGCGAAACTCCTGAGACCTGGCATGGGCGCCGGCATGTGCAGCTTGCAGGTCAATCAACCCTGTCTGACTAAGGCGACATTGCCCTCTTTCCTCGTCTACCTTCTTTCCATCCCAGTGTGTGCCCCTTGCGGCTCGGGTGCACGCCTGATGTGGCGACACCGTAGGCGGGCGTCCACAATGCTGGTTTCGGCCAGCGCATAGCGCGTGGCCTCCGTGGCCACGTGGAATGTGAGCGCAATGCGACCCGAATCCGGGTTTTGCCAAATTAAATTAGCCCTCGCGGCGCATCATCGGATTTCGAATGCGCCTTGGATGGCGAAGGGTGCCTTATGGCAGCATTTGGGTCTTCGGACAGCATGCGGTTGGCAAAATGTACTGCGTCGTGAAGTCCTATCACTACGTGGACATGGAGCGCACGCACGCGGCGGTTTTTTGACTTTGGTTGGGCTTGCTTTGCTTGTTGTGAATAAACCCTGCATGTACAGATGTGAAGCCAGGATGTCGATCATGGGAGCATGGATTGATGCATGCTCGAGGCCTTTTCGGATCACAAGGCCCTTGAGTCATCCGGTGCGAAAAGATGCGTGAAGCCCGCGTTTGCTGGACCAGATTCAGATTGGTAGCGGAGCGAAGGAACGACTCCGGGCATTTGCAGGGCGAAGGTTGCAGAGGATGAGTGTGGCTAAACCCGCTCAGGCTCGTACATCAATGGAGGCAGTCCGCAGGGTTTCCATGATTGGGAATTCAGGACAGCACTCAGAATCCGGCTGTATGAAGAGAGCCTGAAAGCAAAAGAGGCTAAGGAGACCTTGAAAGGAGGTGCGAAGAGCCCAGAAGGAGGAACAGAAGGCGCAACAGAGACACCAGCGAAAGAGCCATCATTGAATCATACCGCGACATGAGCGCGGAAATGGTCCATCGCGTGGTGGAAGGCTTGAGAGGCGACGCGTTCTTGGTCGCAAGAGACATCGGCTTAGAGGCACTCGCCGAGCCTGATGGAGGTTAGAAGCCAATGGGCCCACTATCCCGACAGAGGGGCGAGAGCATGGTATCCTACACATTGAGACGGAAACGTTGGTGGAGGACACTCAAGGAGCTGGACAGCAGCTTGCAGTTGTCAGAGCAGATGCAGGCAGAGCTGATGCTCGACCTTGCCAACATCTCACACCAGGAGACCCTTGTCATCCGAGCTTGCTCGGACGGCGGGCGAGAAATGGACAAGGTAGAGAAAGCTCTCTGGTGACGAACTACGGAGGTGTAAATCTTCGGGAATGCAAGGTCTTTGGCATGCCGACTCCGAGCAAAGGTAGAGGCAAGCACTCCGATTACTCGAGCTACAGTGGTTTTTTCTGTCAGCCGCGGCAACTGGAGAAGGT